GATAGAATGTTTCACAACAAATTAGGTCAGTTTGCAAGTCAGTGATGAGAGCTGGGATGAAAAGAGCGTCTCAGAGTGTCTGAGCCTCTCAAAATAAAAACGGGGAGAGTTTGTGTTGCTTTGTGAAAGACAGCCTGGCTTAACAGCACAACAACGTTTTATCATCCGAGGTACTGAGAACCTTTAAAGGATTCGGAGAAGCTGCAGAAATCTCTTCACAAAGGCCAATGTTGAAAACCAGCGGTGAGTGGCAGTGATCCTCGGGCCCTGGGGCAGCTTTGCATTTAAAACAGATGATTCTGGAGTGGAAATCTCTGTGCAGGAACACTTCTGAAAACCATTTGCAAAAAGATCCGTAAACGCAAGTTAATTCTATTTTTTTTTTCCTGGGCCTCGGCTTGTTTGAGGTGGAGTAAGATGAGTGGAAAAGTCAAGTATTTTATAGGGATCAAATGCCGTCAAATATGTTGTTGTTGGAGCAAAGTTTAAAGCAGCACCTGTGATGATGTAGAGGTCCATCAGGGCACAAGTTTTGGATAACAGGTCCATTTGGAAAAGGTGCTAGAACCTCACATCAAAAACAAAGCTTGAAAATATTTTGCTTTTAAAAGATTCAGTCTCCTGAGTTCCAACAGCCACCAGAGTGTTGGTGAAGACAGTGATGCAATGCAGTGGAAAATCTACTCTTCTACTGCATTAGAAAAGCAATAAATTAAATAAGAGCTTTTACTGTTAATAAACAAAAAAATGTCATTTTTATCATTAGCATGTTGTCTGTGTATAAATGTAAGTAAAATATGAGTTAAAACACATTTATGCATTTTCCAGGCAAATAGCTCAATTCTATATCACAATCAAGTAACTATGTTAAATTCAGTTGTTACGAAAATGCTGTTTATATCAAAAATAAATCTAGCCATCATCATAGCCTTGAAATTGTCCTCTGTCTCTTTAAGAACCTCCTACTATTGCCAACACGCCAATTTCAGCATGCCTTCACAACAATGGTTCTCAGGTAATACCACACCAACTCAGCTCAGTAAATGGTTGAGTCATCACATTTTGCCTTGATTAGCTGTGGCAGCCATCTTGAACGGGGTTGACTGAGGCTGTGTCCAAATTCAGGGGCTGCATCCTTCGAAGGACCCAGCCTACCAGGTCTATGTGTGCCGGGTCCTCTGTTGATAGCAAAGACTGKTAGAAAGTGGCTGTGAATTAGGACGGTCTAAGCTTCAGCTTTATTACTGCCCTTACCTAGCAATCGTGCCAACACTAAACAGAAGCAATGAAGATAGAAACTARCAAATGAACAGAACTACTTTAGGTGCAATACGTGAAGAGCTAAGAGACCCGCCATATGAACTYGTATACGATATCTGACAAGAATAATATTTAAAGACATGTCTATGCAAATGACAAAAATCTAACAAAACAACCACTAAACTTTCCATTTTTGTATCGCCAGATAGTTATTTAAAACTGTACTCCTTTCTCTCACTTCATCCGCCATCGTGGGATATGGTGGGCTGAGGGTGATCCATTGGACCCGTCCTTCAAATTGGGGGGAAAAAAAGAGAAGTATTKTGGGTCGCAAATGGTGGAAGCTTTAAATTTGAACAGCCTTCGGTGAGTCGCTGGAAGTAAATTCAGCCTTTGAAGGAAGCAGCTGAGATGAGTTACTTTAAAATCGATCCATTGGTTTCATGAAATAATTTGGTAAACAAACACAAACGTGCGAAAGCATTATTGCTCTTTCACTTTCTACAGCAGGACATACAATCTATCCCATGCATAGATTGATAAAAATCACTTAAACACGTTTTAATCAATGTGATTATTTGTTTTAGAAACCTTGTTATTTCCCTAAATAAAAAAATATTTGTTTACCATTTTCATGGATTGTTTTATTTTATGTTCAAAAGTGCAAAATGTTCTCGAGTTATTTATRATTCAAGTGTGATCTTCCTTTTTGCAGTCCTGACAGTAGTTTTCATTTCACAACAATTTTCTAATAGAATTTGGTGAATTATTCGCCAAGTGCATAAAAAAACACAAATGAATTATGCCTCTTTTTTAACTACATGTAAAGTCAGAAAACGAGAACTGTAGTAGAACCAAACTAAACCTGTACCTCAGGATCACCTCGTTCCTTCAAACTGACACGTCAATGAATTCATTCCTGTCCGCGGAGCCCAAGATCAAAACACCTTCCTATTACTATGTAAATGAGTGCATATCACACTCCTACAGTACAGTCAAGTGTACACACATGCAGCCTGTCAAACCACAACGAGCAGCTTTCAGCTCTAAATGGCAGTAAGTGTGTGTCTGAGGCTAATTGCTGCGCCGCTGTTATCAGTGTTTCTTTTGTGGTTTCCAGTCCCAGCAGTCAAACGGCAGTATCGCCAAACAGAACAGGAGCCAGACAGTCACTTGATTAGACATTCCAAAAGCTCCCTTGGATCTGCCCATCAAATTTGTCTGTTGCCATGGCGACAGGGGGGATGCGTACTTGGCGGGCGGCAGAGGGCGGAGGGGAAAAAGAAGAGGTTGATTAAAGCGAGAGCATTCTCTGACCTTCTCGATGCTCCGGTCCTGGGTAACAGAAGTTAGAGCTACGAATCTAATTTAAAACTGATTTGTTGTTTGTTTGTCTTTTTTTTAAAGGGGCAACATCATGTAAAATCAACTTTTTTGAGTTTTATATCATCTTATAATGTTATACTCTCATAAAAAACATGCCCAAAGCCTTGCTTTGACTCATCCATGCATGTTTGAGAAATCCTGCAGTGTTTTTTAGGAAGCCATGCTGAGGAGCAAAATGACAGGTGGGGACCAGAAACGCCCCTGAGATGTGTCTTTAAGCCAAATTTCCTCATGGCAGAGCGCAACCCCTCCCCCCATACATCCCGCCCATGACTCCTGCAGGC